TCTCTCTCTCTCTCTCTCTCTCTCTCTCTCTCTCTTTCTTTCTTTCTCTTTCGACGTTTCCCTCGACGCGCGACGCGGACGGATCGGTTACGCGCGATCGAGGTACCGCGGTGTCGTAATTGAATAGGACAAGAGTAGAGCGAAATGCGTCAGAGACGACGACGACGACGACGACGACGACGACGACGCACGCGGCGTTTTAAGGCGGAGAACGCCGAGGTAAAGTCGGGCTCCAATCGTATCCGCGTGGAAAAGTCTAAATAAGTCTCGACTCCCGCTTCACGATCATCGGATTATTCATGCCCGGCCGTCGATATCCGCGGTTAATATTTATGTAAGGAGTCGCGCGTCGCGACGAGCGGTCGTTATTGACGATTTGAAATTCGATGTCGCGCCGAGAGAAGGTTCTGTATTCGAAATCACTTCCGGCGTGCGTCGGTACATTTTCACGCGGGGAAAACCGTGTGAAAGGCACCGAGACATTTATCTCTAATAATTATCTCTTAACAAATGATTAAGTGAGAGAGAGAGAGAGGGGGGGAGGCCTGCGACAAAATTGAACAGTGTAGGAGATATGTGACATTTCGATCGAAATGGAGTCGATGAATGTTCGCTGTGCAACGATGGATAGAATGGTTGCTACACTTTTTCCTTAATGAGTTTAGAAGCGTGCATTTAGATTCAGGGTTACATTCCACAACCTCCGAGGAATATTCTACTCGATGGCCATTCCAAAACCAATTTGAGCGTTTCCGATCTATTTCTCCAGTAAAATTTTCCACGGAGAAAATGTTTTGGAACGTAACTCTGAATCTAAATGCGCGTTCCTAAATTCCCTAATTAAAAGAAAAGGGTTGCAACCATTCTGTCTGTCACTGTGCACGGGTATGGCGCGTCTGTTTAAAAAACTTCGAGACTGACGGACTTGTAATTTCAAGACAGTTATCTTATGCTTTCAGGCTGTGTCTCGAATGACAGCGAAATACAGCGTTACGTTTAAAGTCTTGCGCCTAATCTACAATACAATGTGCTCTTTGAGAAGTTGTCTAGAAACAATCTGTAGCCAATAAATAAGTTTACAAATTTTGTGCAGGTTGAGAAATTGTACATTACACATTGTACAATTGTACATTATCGACAAATTTTTTAAGTGTCTTTTGATTTACTTATATAAGATAGAACGTTTCTAGACGCAAAGACCACGCTGTAGATCAGGCTTTAGGGTCTTGGCGGAATGGCTGGCTTGTAATTTTAAGACAATGTTTATAAAATATTCATCTACTACGAACCGTGCAATAAAATTGTTACTTTCGTATGCTTTTATATTCTTTGCAAACGTCGTCCTCGTATACACTTTTAAGACTTGAGGCGTAAGACATCTACGTCCGTTACCCAAGACTTAAAACGAAAAACATGTTAAAAGTGCGAGACGTAGAGCTAAGCGAAAACAATATCTAAAAGAACAAACGTAGGTTAATACGCGAAGGTAACAGTTTTATTACACGACCATAATATATAAATATTTTACAAATAACGTCTTGAAAATACGAGCTATTCTGCTTAAAGGGGCAAAGTGGCGGAAAACCTGAAAAATTCGTATCGCTTACAACAGTTTTCTATTTTTCTCAAGTATGTAGGTATATAATCTTGTCACGCGTATCCCCTTCGCTCTAAACGATTCGACTGCGAATAACTCGCGGCGCCGACCGCCGAAGTTTCTTAACGCACCCAAGGGGAATTAAAAAAAAATCGACCAAACTGGCCAAATTGATGTTTATTTTAATCACAACCCATACAGCACAGAAGTTTGCAGCAACATTGCTGTAACATTACTACATTGCATACTGCAGTGTAATGTTGAATAGATATTGCAGAGACATTATTTTACAATATTACTTAAGTACCCAACCGATCATCGAGGTTGAGCATCATTGAGTGTGGTTGAAACTTGAATGGGTGACCGTGATTTTACGGTTCCTCACACACTGCCGCGAAGATGTTAGGCACCTACGATCTTTTTAAAATCCGGAATTTGTTCATAATTTTTTTTCTTTATATATTAATATAAATATACACAAAGTATTATTGCATAAATTATACATACATTATATTTCTATGTTGCTGTAATATTACATTGTAATAATTTTGAAGGCGAACATTTTACCGTTGCTGCAAGATTGCAGCAGTGTCGTAGCAACATTTCCCAGCGTTTAGGCAATGTTTGCAATCGAGCCCAGCTACCACAGTGCTCACACGTATACATATATTTTATAACTCGACTCTGTCTTATTCGACGACGATGACTGACTTGGGTGCGTTACGGAACTTTTAACTATTTAACTGAATCCTTTTTACTTATTAACCTACATCGTTTATAACTGCGTTGTTGTTGTTAATTTGCAGTATCACTCGAAAGGAACCCAAAAGAATAGGGTCGAAACGTTGTGTGTAATAAACTAATTAAATAACTAGATAGTTGGGTTGACCATAAGTTTCCCGTCTCAATTTATAATATTTCTACAAGGTTACTGAAACATGGTCGGCGAAATATTACAATTGAATGTCCCTGAACCGTCTATGCAATATTACATTGGAATTTGCAATGTTGCAGTGTTTCTGAAATGTTTCTGAAATGCTGTACGAGTCGAGTCTTGGGTAACGGACAGTAGCTGTCCTATGTCTCAAGTCTTAAATGTGTATACGAGGACGACGTGTGCAAAGGATATGAGCGCATACGAAAGTAACAATTTCATTGTACAGTTCTTAGTAGATGAATATTAAAATCAACGTCGATTTTGCCAGTTTGGCCGATATTTTTTTTTTTAATTTCCCTTGGCCGATTACCACTGGCGACAAGAAGCTGCTGAAATTGTTTCTTAACGCAGTTACGCCCATTTCGGCAACCGCGACGCGCACAGCGTAGGAAATAGGAATGCCCTCTCGCCGGTTACGTCGAACCGATTGACGTCGAAGAGCAAACGGGGGAGAGAGAGCCGACGATCATCCCGCGGAAGCCGTACCGTGCCCGTTTTCGCGACCCTCTCGGCTCCCCTCGGCCCCGCTCCGAGAGGCGCGCGAGGAAGGCGTGAGAAAGCGCGACGCGCATTGTCAAGGGGGGGTACGCGGAGGGAGTCGATTTATCTCCGATCGCGAGAGACAACCGGGAGCGGAAAAACTCCCGTCGCTCTCGCGACGGGGCCTGGACCTGCCGTGGGTACGGATTCTCCGTTACGAGCGAAGTGACATAACGCGCCGCGACGCGTTTTCAGGCTGCTGGCGCGGAAATGGCATGCGAAAATAAGACGCACGTCGGGGGAATGCCAGCGCGTCGCTTACGCACGACGACGACGATGACGGTGATAACGGGTCTCCCGCAGTTTTGGAGGTTAGGTCGGTCGGGGCCTCCGGTCGGCCTGCGCGCGACAGATGTTTCCAGGGTCTCGGTTTCCCATTCCGCGATTGTATGGCATGCAACGCGTAGAATAGGAGCCATAGTGTAAGAGCCATTCAATCGGCAGGACGGAGCCTGGCACGGGGGAAAGTGCGGGCCGACAAAGTGCAGACACTGATAGACCGCTAGCCACACACAGACGTACGCCGGGGGGGGGGGGAGAGAAATAGAGAGGGAGAGAGAGAGAAGGACCGAAGGAGGGGGAGAGAGGGCGAGTGTATTTGCGGATGCGAGAGGAATAGTAACGGGGATAGGGAGAAAGGAGAAGAGACAGGTCGGTATCGATGCGCGGAGATACGAGCACGCGGTGTAATTCCACGTAATTCGTCGTGGAAGATACCCAATGATGAGCGAATTTTCGGCAAGAGAGAGAGAGAGGGGGGGGGGAGGGATGGCGAGATAGGTTGTTATCGCAAAGTTTCAAAGACCAGCGCTCGGCCGACGTCACTGAGGAAGATACCTGGGACGAGGAGGAGACTTTTAACTTGTTTACACTTCTCGTTATACGCGGCGACGACGTGGTGCGCGTGTATTTTTGCTCGTCGCGCCGCTGGTAGAGTCCACGTATATGGCCCGCTCGCTCCGTCGGCCGATAGCGTCGAACGTGCATACCGTGTATGTGCGACAGGCCAGGAACGGACGTTTACTCCGGTCCTCCTGTCACGTCGACGGGTGTCTGTCATTTTGCCGGAGCACGCTCCGAAAGAGAGAGAGAGAGAGAGAACGAACCGGGGGACGGAAAGAGGAGCGAGCGAACGAGCGTGGAAAATCGTCTGCCGACGGAGACGGACGGAGCCGTGAAAAATAAAGAAACTAATTGCGAGGAGCGAAACGGAGTAACGGCAGAGAAACTCACTCGGCACGCACACATATGCGCACGTACACGGACACACTCGCTTACCTCTCGCTTCTTGGCCAGTGTCTCTCTCTTCAGGGACGGGCCCGACGGTCACGTAGCCGCATGTTCCGCTTATCCGCAGGCTGTCTGTACCCCTGTCCGGTTTGTCGGCCTCCCGTCAGCGACACACAGCCATCTTGCGTAGCGGCTGGTCTGGCTCGTCGCGCGGACGCCTTCGGTGCGGTGGCCCCCGGCGAGAGCGACTGAGAGAGGAGCGACGGCGACGACGGCGACGACGATGACGAGCACGACGACGACGACGACGGCGGCGGCGCGTTGGGGTGGGGGGCAGGGGCCGCTGCTGCCGTCGGGCGGCTCGTCGCGAGCGGGCGAGCGAGCGAGAAACGACGACGACGACGACGTTGACGACGTTGACGACGACCGCGCCGCCAGTAGGACGGAGCGAGACGACGACGGCGACGAGGATGAGACGCGGCTCCGCCGAGCAAGTGCGTGTCGCACTAACACGCGCGCACACCACCACTGCCGCCGCCGCCGGGCCGGCGTGCACGCAACACGCCTCCTGCTCTCCTCTACCGCCCCGCGTCCGCTCGCCCGAGTACCATCGGAGCGCCTCCGCGCCGTCACCGCGCCACTACTGTCACTGTCACCGTTTACCACCACTGCTGTTGACGTCGCCGTCGCCGTCGCCGTCGTCGCCGTCGTCGCCGCCGCTGCCTCCTCCTCCTCCTCCGCCGCCGCCGCCGCCGCCGCCGCCGCCGCCGCTACCACGGGCTACTATCGCCGACGTGCACGGCACTGCGCCACCACCTTTACGGCCTCCGCCACTTTTCTGCACGTTCCATCCCGTACGTCACGTACATCGTTCCACGCAGCGAGCGATGTCGTCGTCCGTTGCGAGGCTGCTCCGCGTCGTCCTATTTCCGAGCGAGCTGTCCACGATCGAACCCCGAGCGCGACCCACGATCCCCGCGCGTCCCTACGTCAGCTCCGTTTCCGTCTCGCTTCCTTACGCTCGCACACACCGCATGCACACGCGCGCAACCTTTCTCATTCCCTCGCGCTTTCTCGTTCCTCTCGCTCCTTCTTCCGCTTGTTACTGGCAATATATCGTATCGCGACGCAGTCGCCGCTGCTTTCTATCCGTTGCAAACCGCGCTCCACCACGCACTACCGCGACCGCGATCAGCCTGGATCGAGTCAACTGCCGCGTGACGGGACGGGACGCGGTCGGCAGTTTCCGCCGCCGCGTACGAGCGCGCCGCAGGGGCGGAGCGGCCGCGGGCGCCCGCGGCGCCCCGCGGCCGCCGTCCTTCGAGGTTAGGAGACCGCTCGCGTTTCGCAACGCGACACCCGTCCGAGCCGTTCTATTTCGCGACGACTGGATTTCCTCGATTCGAAAGCCGCGTGGAAACGCGCGGCGACCTTACCTCGCGGTCGCGGATTTCTTTTTTTACTTCCCCCCGCTCTTCGCCGCGAGCCGATCCGCGACTGATGACTTCCGCCCGAAATCCGCATCGCGCGTAAACAACGTGTTTTACAACCGCGCCCGGGTATATGCCTCCGCGCGATAAACAACTCTTTCTACGGCCCGTTTGTTTGAACGCGTTTCCGCAGCTTATCGTCGAGCGAATCCGCGAAAGAAATTTTTCAGATGCTTCGTAGCGGAGTAATTGCGATTTATCCCAGCCCCGCGACACGCACGAGGATAATGAAGGAAAGAAATGGATTACGCCGCGTCCACGCACTATCTGCTATCGCTTCGCGTAATCCGCGTCTTATCTCTTATCGCCGCTCCTCGTTTTTGACACGTGGACACATTTTTCCATTTATATTTCCGTCGAACGACGCAGCAATTTCGCTTCGTCCTCGACGAAACGTGCGTAGATCCTCGCGAGATTGCGCGCGGAGATGCGATAAAAACCGAGATAGATTGAGGTACGGTTTCACCAACGTCGCTTAACTTTAAGCTTACACAGTTGGGAAATTTGTGTTTTCTTGTTAACAAAAATGCCGGTTAAAATTTTTTCGTTAAATGTCTGACACATTCATGTGTTAATTTAACATATTGCTCTCGTGTTAATTGACCACGAATGTAAAATTATTGAAATAACTTGAAAGGAAATGTTAAAACACAATGTGTACTTATTTTTTAATCTTGCACAATGCATATGTTCTATATTGTTAGTAACAAGTTTTACCTGTTAAAATTTACATTATAAAATGTTGATTTTATTCTATATTACATAAGTGAAAGTGATTTCGAACCGTCATTTGACTTATTATTATACATCTGTAAAATGTAAAAATTACAATATAAAGAATTTTAAAGAATTTAAGGCCAATATTTATGTAAAACTTACATTGTTTAAACTTCATTCTGTCATGAAAAATATGTTTATTTTACACAAAATTGATTTCAAATTATTTTGAGATTTGCATTTATTTTGTGTTAAAATATTAACAGAGCATCAGCGTGATCATTGAACATATCCATATTATGTTAAATTAACACAAAAATATGTGGACCGTTTGGGGCATGTGATATCTGTTAAATTTAACACAAATTTTTCAACTGTCTGGTTTAATTCGTTCTTTGTCTCCTTTCAACTGTTACTTTAGAAAGAGACAAACGCGACTTGAACTAAAATTAAAGTTAAGCGACGTTTGGTGAAACCGGGCCTTGGATACTTCGATTCTCGAAGCTCCAGAGCTTCGCGAGAGGGAAGCGTCGATTCGAAATTCACGCCGCTAAAAAACAAATTTTAACTCGGCGTTTTCACGGTTCGCTCATCGACGTTGTCGAGTTTTCGCAACGTTAGCTTCGACGTCGCTATATAGAGCACGAGCGTAACAGTTTCCACCGTCGGTGGTTTCCATTCTCCTTTCGCGCCGCACCGCGCCGCACCGCGCCGTGCCGCGCCGCGCCGCGCCGAGCTGATTCTCGTACGAAAAAGTACGAAAACAATAGGCCTTGCGGCGGGCCCTGCCTGGCGATTTATAATCGCGTTTGCGGGGCCGCGAAGCGAGGACGAGCGAAATTTCATGCGTCCTAAGCACTTTCGCGCGATTGCGTCAGGAGGGGGGGGGAGGGGAGGGGTTTAAATCGCGAGGCGATTTAAACAATATAAAACACGAGCGTGAGTGTCTCCTCGAGACACGGCCGCGAGTACGTTCGGCTAAATATAACGGACGCGCGGTTTTTATCCCCGCTCTAGCGACGTGATTTACAATACTGTGTATGATGACGTTAACTCCCTCGCGGTTCTTTCGCGAAAAACTTCTTTCTTGCCGCGCGACGCACGGTGCATTTAGAAACAGGCTTCGCGATTTGGCGTGTAATATTTAAACTGTGCAGGAGCAACCGAGCGACACGAGGTCGAAAAAATTCCATTCGCCTCGATATCCGTAAAAAGCAGGAAATCGAGACGCCGATAGATAAATGATACTGCACAGTTGAAAAACTTGTGGTTTCTTGTTAAGAAATGTGCCGGTTGAGGTTCTTGGATTAAGTGTTTAACACGTTCGTGTGGTAATTTAACGCATTGCTGTTGTGTCGAACTTACGTGTTAAATTATTAAAAACAACTGGAAAAGAGTGTAACAATAGCGCAATGTGCATCTATTTTTAACTTTACACAACAGACGTGTTCCGTATTATTAGTGACAGGATTTGTCTGTTGAAATTTCCAGGAAGAAATGTTGAGTTTATTCTATAGGAATAACTTTTTTCATTAATTTTATTATTGAAACTTGATTTTGCACAAAATTTACTTCAAATTACCCCGAGGTTTTACATTGATTTTGTATTCGCCTCACGCGTTGCTATCTGTACCTGTATGGTAATCCTAATACTTGTACCCTAATACTTTCGTGTATATCTCCCTTTTATATTTTTCTTTTTCCACTTTGGTTCGCTCAAAACCATCGTGGCCTTTTATTCTCGGTTGCCCCTCGTTTCCTTTTCTTTTCTCGTTCTGTCCTTCGGATTTTCCCCTATTATTCTCCTTCTCCTTTGTGCATTTCAATGTCAGTTTATCGAAAAACCCAGAGAAAAGTAATAAATTATACGAAAATATACGAATGTTTGCTACATATTTCTTTCTTTATGTACGTGAAAAACTAAATATTGGAATTTGTTTTTCACTTCCAACACAGTATTGTGTTATTATAGGCACGAACATTTTTTCCTTCTGAATTCTTAAACATAGGAAATATAAAGTCCCATATCTTTTTACAAGCAAGCACGGGACAGGGACATGAAATATGTTAATTGTTTTCACTCTCTTCTTCCGACAATTTTTTGCTCGGCAAATCCGAGTTTACCTAGGCGAATTGTAACGTATCCTGTGAACATTAAATAAAAAGTAGAAAAACCTAGCAAAGTTGTAAATCCCGTGCTTCGGTACTGAAATTAAGAAACTTGGCAAAGGAATTTGGAAAAAAATGGTTGAAAAAGAAGTGAGTGATCAGCTTGACGTCTAAGTGGCTTGGGTAAACGTATTCGGTTTATCCGAGTTTATTTTTTCGGCACTGGCGTAATTTCATCGCTGGCCTGCGTTTAACTCGCCGTGAGAAGTGACAATATAATAAGAATCGTATCTCAAATCGGCCTGCGCCCGCGTCGCGGAATATCTTCCCGTCTGCGAGCCAAGTGAAACCGGATCTTCGAGAGCATGCGGCGTGTCAGTGCCAATATAAAGACAGCCGGGGCGAAATACTTCTAATTCGGTGCACGCCGGAACCGAGCGTGAGTACGGGACTCTCTGACCCCGCCCGCGAATAATTTTAGATAATAAATTGCGAGCCATTTTTAACGATTCGCAATAATTCCATCTCGGTCACGACGACGATTTCTGCGATTTATTATCCAACGTTAAATAAACGAACGTGTGGAGAAACTGGCGAAGAAGCTAGTGATCGAATTTTGAGAAATTTTAGCAATTCTAATGTAATAATAACGAAAATGTTATTGTTAAATATATACATATAGTATATGATACAGGGTGGCCCCGAACGCTCCGGCCAGACTTTGAGATTTTATAGAAGATTTAATTCTGAACAAAAAGTTTCCTATAAACATAGGCCGTAAAGTACTTCCTTAAAAAGTTAGAGCACAAAAATGATTGTGAAAGAAATCACGGTTATTGTATACATTTTTACAAGTATAAAAAAAGATGCGTTTTATTGTACAAGAATTACATAGCTGTCGACCTTTTGGGAAAGATTAATTACATTTTTCTCCCATATATATACCTATACAATACCTAACCGTGATTTCTTTGTGCTTTAACTTTTATA